ACCCTGGCTTATAGGGATGACTCTAACCAAGTGAGTTACCTGGCTAGGGGCTAGAGCAAAAGACCTGTTCTTGCCCCTTTACTGACAGCATCCTTTCCCTCTTCAGTGGAAACTTTGCTATGTAAGTCATTTACCCACATGATCTTTTCCTCATTCAACTGAAAACTACCTTGTATTTCCATTTATACTGACATTTCTATATTATCTTGTTTCACTAATCATTTTTCTGTTCCTATGTTTATACCACATCAGTTTAACATCATCCTTATTGCAGTATTTTGATATTGCATAGTAAGTCCCCCTTGCTTTCGATTTTAATTCCTACACTTAATTTTATTTCTACATAAATGAAGGTAGCTTTCTCAAATTACAAAAGCCCTTGGGTATTCTAATTGGTATTGCATTAAATTTATACATTTATTTTGGGAGAAGTGGCATGATATCTTCATTCTGCCCCCAAAGTATGCCTTTGCATTTATTCAAATTATGATACATGTCCCTCAGGATAAGGATTCTGAACAAAGTAATTTGAAGCCCATCTCTGTTTAATACTATTACATTAAGAAAGGTTTAATATTTGAATAAGAGAAATCCCTATTGTGGACTGAATGTTTCCATCTCCCAGAGTTTATGTTGAAGCCCTAATTCCTAGTGTGATGGTATTTGGAGGTGTGGCCTATGAAGGTATTTGAATTTACATTAGGTTATGAGGGTAGGACACTCATGAAGGGAACAGTCTCTTCCTTTTAGGGGGAGAGAGACATCTCTCCATGTGTATGTACCAAAGAAAGGCCATGTGGACTTTCACTAGGAACCAAATCTGCCAGCACTTTGATCTTGGGACTTTGCAGCTTCCAGAACAGTAAGAAATATATGTGTGGCCATGGCTGGTGTGGCTCAGTGGACTGAGTGCCAGCCTTTGAACCAAAGGGTCACCAGTTTGATTCCAGTTGAGGCACATGCCTGAGTTTCAGGCCAGGTCCCCATTAGGGGGCATGGGAGAGGCAACCACACATTGATGTTTCTCTCCTTTTTCTCCCTCCCTTCCCTTTCTGAAAATACATAAAATCTTCAAAAAATAACAAAAGAAGTCAATAAATTTTAAAAGGTTGAATAATACAAAATATAATTTCAAATTACATGTAATTGAATGAAACCAGACATCAGTAACAGCAGAAAAGTAGAAAATTCCAAATAAGTAGAAATTAAACATCAAGCTCTTAAGGGGTCAAAGAAGAAATCACAAAGAACATTTTAAAAATATTTTGAAACAAATGAAAACTGACCATATCAAAACTTATGGGATGCAGCAAAAGCAGTGCTAAGAAAAAAGCTGAAAGTTTAATATAAACACATAGAACTTGAATCAACAACTTACAGCCTAAGAAACTAGAAAAATAGGAAACTAACCCTTAACTAGAAAAGAGAAGAAAATAAAGATTCGAGTAGAGATAAATAAAACATTAGAAAAACAATTTGATCAATGAAACAAAGTTATTTGAAAAAAATTGATAACATTGACTAAGAAAATCAGAGTCAAATTAGTAAAACATTTAAAGTGGGAACATTACTACCAATTTTACCAACATAAAAAGGATTATTAGAGAATACTATGAACAATTGTACACCAACAAATGGATAACTTATATGAAATAAATTCCTAGAAACATAAATTACCAAAACTGAATCATGAATAAAAATTCTGAGCAAACCTATAACTAGCAAGAAAACTGAAGCAGTGATCAAAGCTCCCAACAAGGAAATGTCTGGACCAGATGGCTTCACTGCTCAATTCTATTAAACATTTAAAGAAGCATCAACGTTCATCCTTCTCAAATTCTTCTAAAATGTAAAAGACATGTGAACTTATCCAAACGTTTTACAAAGTCATCATTACTTGGATACCAAGGTGAGACAAAGACACTAATATTCCATTCTCATTCTCTCTCCAGAAAGGCTATCAAATTGTCCCTTAGTACTTTTTCCCAATTGATGTGAAATGCCTCATTCACCATACACTAAAATCCTTTATTTGGCTCTATTTTTGGATTCTCTCATGTGTTCCACTGGTCGGTCCAGTCAGTTGAGTCCCGTATTTCAGTTTTTGAAGTTTAAGAGTACAGTTTGTAATCTGGTTAGACTATCCCCAACTGCCCCATACTGCATTTTTCTTCCAGATACACTGTCTATTCTAACCTTTATTTTTTCCACTTGAACTTTAGAAAAACCCCTATTTAGAAAAATATATTATTTTTAAATGGGATAATGTTAAATTCATAATTTAATTTAAAATGTTTGCGGATTTTTTTCAAGAATACAGTATATATATTTTTTGTTTACTAAGGCTTTTTTTTGCCTTTTAATGTTTTTAAAGTGTTTTAAACTTTTAAATTATTTATTGCTAAAATTATTCTTAAGCATTTAGTCCTATTGCAAGGTTTTGTTTGTATGTATTAAGTTTATTTACATAATTTTATACCCACTACCTTACTTCATCCCTTTATTTAAAATTACATTCGCTATGGCTAGGTAGCTCAGTTGGTTAGTGTCCTCGAAACAGGCCAAGGTTGTGGGTTCATCCCCTACTAGGTTATGTATAAAAATCAATTAAATGAATAAATAAGTGGAACAACAAATCAATGTTTCTCCCTTCCTCTCAAATCAATTTTAAAACAAAAGTAACTGCAATAAGTTATTTGGAGAAAATATTTTTGCAGTTAGAAAAAACTTATTTTTATACCTAACAAAATGCGTCTGGTCTGGAGGTAACTAGAGAAAATTAGTAAATCAGTTGATCTGAAAAGTCTCCTTGAGTATACTCAAATTTACATTCCTAAATCTCCGTAAGCCATGTCACTTCTCTTAGATTTGCCATGGTCGACACTACCCTTCAAACTTTTAAAATTGTTTCTTAGTACAGGACTTCACAAATCAGCTCCCTTAGACCGTAGACTTACATCCCTTAGACCTATAGCCTTTCCCCAGGACTCGAAAAGAACCCATAAAATTGAAAGGCTGTCTCGAGGGTCTGCGCTCTAAGCAAGAGCAAAAGTTCCTTTTTGAAACTGGCTTCCTTTTAAAAGAAAACAATTCTTTTTATTTCAATTCCATAAAAGATCCTCCTGGCTTTTCATAAAAGTCAAGCTTTAATTTATATTTATTAGCTCAATTGTGTAACCTTTCTCCCATCAAGTCTTTTTAAAAAACACTCCAGGAAGAGTTAACCTTAAGGAAGCTCAGAGATAACTCTCCAAAATACAATCCCAATGATATATACAGAGATGCTTAAACTTTCAAATACATTTTTCTTTTAAAACAGCTGAATAAAAATAGATTTCAAGAAAAAAACCTTTCAATTACACACACACCCACACAAAAAATCCTGAATCCAGTTTCTCCCTCTCTCTACGACCCCCAACACCCTGTCACACACCCCCAGACTCTCAATTCCCTTTTTCCTGCAAAGCCTGCCTCTCTGTTGCCTTCTAGGTCTGGGACATTCACACGAAGGTCAGTAGTTCAAGAATACCAGCCCCCTTCGCAATTTTGGAAACTCCTCCCCTTTTGCCTCCCTCATCCCTTTTCACGTTTATTGGTTCCTCCCCACCAGCCTTCCCAATCCTTTTGTAATCTCCTTCCTTTTAGCCTCCCAGACTGGCTGTGGAAATCAGACGCTTAGGTTCCACAACTCTGCCCTGAAGAACTGTTACAGAACAAAAGGGGGCCAAGGGGGAGGGGCGCCTAGGGCAATATAGTATTACCGAAAGGAACCCCCCAGGTTCGTTATGTCCACTGCCAGAGGAAAGACGTCTCTCAATGCCAGAGACTCATGAAATGGAAAGGAAATGTTTATTTAATGCTATACAAACTTAAAGTAGTGACCTAATGTCTTCATCAAAATCCCAAAATCCCTTAAAACACCCACAAAAACACACAGTCCTTCCTTCCCCCTTTGCCCAGTCTGGGGTACCATATCTCGGGAAAAGAAATAGAAGTCCGAGGCTCAGGCAGCCCCCAGTTATTCCCAGTAATCCGTCTTGGCTGGTAGGCCTCCTTTGGTTCCTGGCACCATCAGCTGTGTCGCTGGATCTCTGCTAAAACCAGGTGTTGGTTCCCCCTACTAAAGTTGCGGGGGGTCCCCATTCTGGCAAAGTCGAGTGCTTCTCTCTCCACTGCCACAGCTGCGTGGCTCCCTTTCTATTGCCACCGCCACGTGGTCCTCTGCACAATGGCCATGGGAGTCCCCACTCTGGCAAAGTCGCATGGTTCTCCCTCCAATGGCTGCTGAGTCTGGGTTTAAATCCCCAAGCCAATCTTCCTCTGCAGCCTCATTTCTGACTCCTCCCACAATTGGCTACACCTGCCAGCACTCTCTTATCCTTCCAGCTTTACTGGGCTGCCATCCTGAGTCTGGGCAGGCGTGGCCCCATGTCCTGCAGTCAGTCATCTCCAAGCTCCCATGCAGGCCCTGTAACTGGGGGAGTTGCCTCCCAGTTACATCTTGGGGGGAAGTTACTTCCATCCCCTGGCTCAGAGGGTGGCCACAGCTATTTAACATATCTATGCAACCAGTTAAAGGTTATAGATATGTTAAATGACCACACCAGAAGTTAGCTGCAAGGCTGTTGCTATTCAAAACAGCTCTCAATGGCCCTGCTCCATTTGTCCCTTCCCCCAACCCACACCTGTGTTGGGGTGGAGGTGAGGACATCCTAATATTTCCTGAACACGCTGAGTTCTGGGCCCCATTCCAAGTCCCTATTTGCCCCCCCCCCCGCCCCCCTGGACCCCCTTTTATAGAACCCTAAGCTGAAGCCACACCGGAAGGTGGCCAAAACGGCAACTCGGGAAACTGGGTACTCCTTGGCTGCAGTGACACTCCAAGAAATCTCCAGGATGTAGGTAGGCACAAGCTGTGAAGAATCAAACAGTGCATCTACCGCGTTCACTGCCCGGAGCTGCATTTCCCAGAAGGGTCTGCGGTGCGTATTATCTTCCCTTTCAAAACAGCCTCCTCTTTTGAGCCTGTTCAACTACCGTGGATAGTACGGAGATTCACTTAACCTAGTCTCTTTCAAACGCGCCCGAGCGGCCTTTTTCAGAAGCTCAGCCTGATGCTGAGTGGGGCTATATGAGGTCTCCGGTGCGCCGTTTGATGAGAGGACGCAATTGTTTCCGATGGGCCCCAGTTAAGTTCTGACGGGAATCCTGACGCTAGACAGCCATCTTGCCCGCCTCAAGTAAGTCCTGACTGCATTTCCCAGAGGACTTGTCCGCATAACGTGATCTCGCGTGAATTCAGCCCAAAGCCACGCTCTAACGGGAGCCACAGGTCTTCACCTGCAACTATTACAGTGCTGTGGAGGAGGCTTCTGCCGCTTTGGAAGCTCCCAAGGCCTGAAGTAAGGAAGCCGGGGGGGAGGGGGCGGGGCCAGAGCCGGACCTCCGCTTGGTACGCGGAGGTCAGATTCATATTGTGTGATTACGGGTATATGGTGGTAAGTGGTGACTGACTTTGTGGTTGTGACTTGCTGTTCCAATATTACCGTGTGCAGCACCGTCTGGGGCCTGAGACTGCCGGTGTGACTAGACAATACCAGGTGTGTGTATGGGGTGAGGGGGGGTTGAAGGGAGGAGGGGCAAGTGCGGCTTTGTACTTGTGGGTGTGTTGGGGCCTTTTGTCTCGGTTGAAGTGGTAGCGTTTGACCCCATAGGGGTGTGATTGTGTTACCTGTGTGCTGTAGAGTGTAGGTGGGGGTGCCTGTGAATACTGTGGTACGAGATGCTTGTGACCATGTGAGGCCCTGGTTATGCGGCCCTGTTGCTTTGATTGTGGGTTACCTCTAGCTTTACGTTCCCATAGTGGTTCTGTGATTTTTGTGACTATATAAATATATGAGGGTTTTTTTTTTTCACTTACGTATACTTCTTTAAGCATTATATTGCAGTTCTGCTTGTTTTTTAAACTTGGTATGAATGCTGTCCTTTATATATCCTTTTATATGAATTTTTGCTTATTTGTACAACTATGTTTTTGAGAATCTTCTATATTTGCTTTAATAATGGTTCATTTTTCTTTGCTATATTGTTTTCTTCCTTTGATTCACTATTCTTTCTAGTAACGATGGACATTTGAGTTATTTCTAGTTTGTTTGACATTATAACAATGCTGCCACAAGCATTCTTTTACATAAGGTACATATGCATGAATTTATCTATCTACCAGTGGAATTGCTGGGTCATGTGATAACTTTCACTTTGCTAAATAATGCCAAAATATTTACTCAAGTGTTGCACAAACTTATACTTGCACACCAGTGTTTGAAACATTTTATTGTTTTATAGCTTACCAAAACATGGTTCTGATAGGTTTTGTTTTATTTATTTATTTCTAGAGAGAGGGGATGGGAGGGAGAAAGAGAGGCAGAGATACACGGTTGTGCAAGAGAATACATTGGTTTGTTGCCTCTCGCATGCCCCCAACTGGGGACCTGGCCTGCAGCCCAGGCCTGTGCCCTGACTGGGAATTGAAGCTGCCACCTTTTGGTTCGCAGACCGGTGCTAAATTCACTGAGCCACACCAGCCAGGGCTAATAGTTTTTAAAACATTTTAATGAGATACATCATATGGTAAAGTGCACAAAATTTAAGTATAAAGCTGTATAACAATTTCCTAAATCGATATAAAGGACTGTGCCCACACTCCCAAAAGTTTCCCTCATGCCCCTTCCTAATTATTTCCTTCCCAGAATCACTAATCAGAAACCTATCTCAATTAGTTAATTTTAGTTACTTTTGAACTTCATTTATAAATGAAATTATATAACATGTGCTATTTTCTTTATGTCTGGCTTCTTTTGTTCCACATTATATTCGAAAGTCATCCCCGCTGTTGAGTGTAATTGTACTTAGTGCTCATTACATTTGGGGATATATTGCAATTTAGTAGTAGATTACATTGTTGATGGATATTTGATAGTTTCCAGTTTTTTGGCTATTACACATTAACTGGTGGTGGGTGCCAAGTCTCTCCTATGCAAAATTACTGTTTTCCCTTTTTAATTAGTATCTTGTGAGGATATGCTTTGAGACTATGCAAAAATAATATTTCTCATCATACTTTCACCCATTAAACTCATTGGTAATTCTTATATGAAATAATTATTTCTCTGACATTTGCCTTGTGATTTTCTCTTCTCATGATTCCTTCTGCATTTATTAATTTAAATTCTACTATAAGGTAGAACTATTCTTATTCCCCATGTACTCATGGACTTTTATTTTATTCTGAGTTTTAATTCATTATTATTATTATTATTATTATTATTATTATTATTATTATTATATTTTATTGCTAAATTGTCCCAGATTTGGCCACTAGGAACTCCTTCAGCTGAGAACTCCTTCAGTTGAACTCCTCCAAAGGGCTCCTGTGTCTTTTCAACATATCATCACATTGAATGCTTTCTTACTTTCTGGCACCAAAGTGTTCCAGTCTTATCTTGTATTTTTCTCTCTTCCAACCCTGGTATCAGCAATTTTCCAAGGAACCCTGGTTTCTTTTGTTGCAGAGTGGATTTATAAACCAAGCTCTGGTCACTAGGTTTGCTCCTTGCTACCTGTGTGTAATTGCTCTAGTTTTGTCAGTGGAGAGAGCTAGAAAATACACAGATGTGTATATACACATCTATATCTATTTATCTATCTATTTGTATATATTAAAAAACCACTAATTTCTACTCAAACTTTACTTCTAATCCAGTGCTATAGGATTTTGTCAAGAACTGTGAAGTGTCTGAGATTTTGCCCTACTTGTGATTTAGCAAGTTAGCTTGACACATTTTCAGATGCTGGCAGAAGATGCATGACTTTTGGGTCAGAGATAAAAGGTGGTTGATTGCTCATAGCAATAGCCAAAGTGTCTATATTTTCTTGTATTGGCTCACTTGCCCCTTGTAGGGTGATGCAGATACACAAGCATATGTGTGCTCTCATGAATTTAGGGAATCTGAACCTTGTATAATGGGTAATAAGCATGCTTGCCCTTTGCTCTAAAGAGAGAATACCTGTCTCTCAAGGCTGTTCACTATACAAACATCTTGGAGAAATAGTACAAAATAAAAACGCTTAGTGCTTCTGATGGCAAGATGTACGGAAACATTCAAGACCCAAGAACTGTTTTGAGTCAGGTTTGGCCATTTCCTTATTTGTAACTCCTTCCTCCAACAATGAGAAACCTATTTCTAGTGTCAGTATTGTTTTACTCATTCTAGAATAAATGTAAAGTAGTTTCAGAATTGCTAACTCATATAAACAACAAATTTATTAACTACAGTGAAGTATTTGTGTGCAACTTTTTTTCCTTAACCTTACAGATACATAGTCAAAAACTGTTTTCAATTTAGTTCTTTTCTTTGCCAACCTCTTCAGTGTAGTTTTGTTATTCATTTTTCATACATTTAGCTTTGTTTGTTATACTTTGGGTTTCCCCACATCCTAGTTGATTGTTGAATATCACAGTATTTTGAGTATGAAAACATTAATGTGGTTCCTGCCTACTCCATATACAAAATCAACCTCATTACTTTCTGATTTATCTTTCTGCTATTTTGTACAAAAGAGAAGATACATGTATTCTTTTGAATGATGTCTTTTTTGCATTAAAAATAGCATACTCTTTTGAACATTGCTTCTTTCACTTAATGATATATCCTGGACATTACTCCATCACAATTCAAAGAGATACTCATAGCTTTTGTTTATATAGTTACATAATAAATATTCCAGTATATTTATGGATTTATCATAGTTTATTCAGCCACTCTCCTGTTATGGACATTTAGGTCATTTACAATATTTTGTTACTGTAAATGGTCCTGCAGTAAATAATTTTGTATATGTATATTTTTGTATTGCTTGGAGGCATATCTTCAGGGTATATTTCTAGAAGTGGAATTGCTGGGTCAAAGGTAAGTACATATGCAGTTTTAATGGGTATTACTAAATTCCCCTGTGGGACTGTTGTACCAGTTTTCATTCCCACCTGCAATGTATAAGAGTGCCTGTTTCCCCCTCTACAGCATAGCCAACAGAATGTCTTGTCATGCTTTTTAATTTTTACCAATTTAATACATGAAAAATGGTATTGCAGTGTTTTCTTATTTAAGTATGAGTGTATATGAACATTTTTAATCTTTTTAGATTGATTATTTATGATTTTCCCCATTTTTCTAGAAGATTTTTAGACCTTTATCTTTATAATTAGTGCTTTTTTGTATCTTGAAAGGAAATCCTTGCTTATTCCCAAGGTCTTGAAGACATTCTTCTATGTTTTCTTTTATTTATTTTTTATATTTTAAAAAAAGATTTTATTTATTTTTAGATAGAGGGGAAGGGAGGGAGAAAGAGAGAGGGAAACATCAATGTGTGGTTGCCTCTTACGCACCCCCTACTGGGGACCTGGCCTGCAACCCAGGCATGTGCCCTGATTGTGGAATCCAACCTGTGACGCTTTGGTTCGCAGGCTGGTGCTCAGTCCACTGAACCACACCAGGCAGGGCCTATGTTTTCTTTAGAAGCTTTATAAGTTTATCATTTATATTTTTAAGTGTGTGGTCTATCTTGAATTAATTTTTGTGTGTGGTGAGAGGTAAGGATAAAGGTTAATTTTTTTCCCATTCAAATACACAGTTGTTCTAGCACTATTGGTTAAAAACACCATCCTTCCCATCTGAATTACAAGGAGCTTTTATCATAAATCAGGTGATATTATATTTGTGGCTTTTTCTGGATTGTATTCTGTTTATTATTTATCTTTTAGGTCAGTGCCACTGTCTTGAACTCTGTAGTTTTAATTCTCCAACCTTTTTTCCTCTTTTTTGAGACTGGCTGGGCTATTTTGTGTTTTTTCCATTTCCTATAGGTGTTAGGATCAATTTGTTAATTCTCACCAAAAAAGAAGAATCCTTGCTGGGATTTTATTTATGAATCTGTATGGTAATTTGGGGAAAACTGACATTTTAAAAATATGTATTTTATTGATTATGCTATTACAATTGTCCCATTTCCTCCCCCCGCCCCTTATTCCCCTCTGCCCTGCACTCCCCCCTTCCCACCCACATTCTGCCCTTTAGTTCATGTCCATGGGTCATACATGTAAGTTCTTTGGCTTCTACATTTCCCATACTATTCTTAACCTCCCTGTCTATTTTCTACCTACCATTCATGTTACTTATTCTCT